CAGACTCCCTTAATTTATTCATTTGATTTTTTGATGATATTTGGTGAAAAGCAACTGAAAATTACCAGTGTACATTGAAGGTGACACATTAAAATTATGCTCCTGAGAAAACAGTGAAGAGAAAAAAACAAATCTAGTCTGAAATACCATATTAAGTCTTTCCAACATTCCATATTCAATACTGTATTTACATTCTTCAACTGAAAGTTTAGTTTTTGTTGCTCTTTTGCCTTTTGGACTATGATATGACTTGAAAAGTTATCATCCTCAGTAGGTCATCAGCACACTTACCCTAAATAGTCTAAATTTGCTTCAGTGGGATTTCACACTACCATTCATAATAATATCATTAACACTTGCTAGTTAACATTAAGCATAATCACAAACAATAAATAATCAAAATGAATATGAAAAAAATCTATTGTTTTTCTTCATATGCCTTTTAAACCTAAAGATTTGTTCCAGCTGTACCATCTGAAAGAATTTTCTCAGCCAGAGAGAAAATTCAGTCATTGGTAGAACTTAAAATAGAAAACACTACTGAGTCACTGGCATCACAGCAGCTCTCATGAAGTGTTTGCTTCACAGTAGGTGGAATTACTTAAAAACAGAGGCTATCTGTTGTTTCCTTGCATTGGAAGAAAAAAATAGGATAACACTGGTCTCTTAAACAATTCAGTCAAAAGACCCACAGAAACTTGTTAACAAACTATTACTTTCTGGTAAAATAAATAAATAAATAAATAAAGTCAGTGTATACTTTGTAGAGCCCTCAAATCCAAAGTAAACATTTTGAAGAGATGTCGATTTACAGTCCTTGATTAACAAACTAAGTTCGATTTCCAGGCATTGAGGAGCAGAATTACTTTCACCAGCCCCCGAGAGAGATGGTCCTCTTATCTGATCTTTTTCTAGGGGAACTGGACCGCATTGGAATGTAAAGAGACCACCATAAAACTTGGCTTCATATTTTCTTCTTTCTCCTTATGACTGAAAATGTTAATGGGACTTAAATGCTATGTTAACCAAAGGTTCTGTGAAATGTTTAAACAGAAGTTTAGAGATGTTTTAGTCAAGCTGATGATTTCTGGACATATTTCAGCTCAGCTCCTGCAAAGACTTCTTCCGTAAGTTGTAACAATGTAAATGTCATCTTAACATGAAAATGTAAAATCTAAGATCCGATGTGTGTAAACTGTTTCAGGAGATTACAAAAAAATATTTTTAATGTGTAGCTTAAATCAGCCTAACCCTATGCAATGTTAAGTCTTGTCTAAAATGATAGGAAATTAAGCTTTTCATTTCTCCATTTTATGATTACAACCTTAACAAATGCTTGCTTGTGTTCTTGTTATTCAAAGGTTTACCTTCCTTTCTCCCCACAGAATATAATATTCTCTTATGCTTATTTAATGTTGAAACTGTGTTGCTTAGACTGTGTCTGAACTGTGATGCCCCCACATTGATCATATAAAATGCGTATTTCAAAACTATGAGCTATGGTGGAAAGTAGGAGCTATGGATTGCATAAAATTAGTTTAAGACAAAATAACTTTTCTGTGAACCTTTTACAGTGCACTCCTAAAATAGCCAATCAGGAACTTGCTATCATGACACTAGAGTCCCAGCCAGTCAGAGGACTCCCATTGGCAAACTCCCAACCAATCAGGCAAAGCCAAGTACCTGAGCTGGCACATGACTACAGGAGTCACAGCCTCTCTTTGTCTCAAGAATACAAAACAGAAAGAACTCAGAGCGACCAGATCAAGAAGAGATTAGAAACAGGAGAAGAAACTGTAACCTCCAAAGTGTGCGTCACGTCCATCTCTTCTCTGGGTGTTTTCATGTTTTGTCTAAAATTCCTTTTTCTAAATATTATGCTCACATCACCCCAAGATTTTTCTTTCTTATTTAGCAATGCTAAATGCTAGTGGGTTTTAAAAAATTTTTCTAATGTAACTAAAGTAAAGTGCACCAAAATCTGAATAGCTTCAGCCTACATTTGTAGAAAATGAAACCTTTTGATAGCAAAAGCCAAGTTTACTTAAGCCGAATTGTTTGCTAAGCTCTGCAGATACCATCAGGATGATCTTGTGATGATCAGTTTGATTTATACATGATTTTCCTTGAGACACTGCCAAACACCAACCACAGCAGGGCCCTAGTGAAGCCAGCGATCTGGATGAAGAACTAGCTACCATCTGAGAAGCAGCTCTACCGGAAAGCGAGCCCAACCAAATCCAGTGATGACAGACCAGACGGAAACTCTGGACCAGCTCAACTCTGGCCCATAAAGGCATCAAACCCATCACTTCTCCTTACCCAGCCACATGAGTCCTGCTAAAATATACAGTAAGTGCACCCTGACAAACTGTAGTCTCACTTAATTGAAGTGATAATTGAGATTTAGTCCAAAATCTCAAAAGCAAAACCAGTAATGAACCAGAACAAGAAAACTAAAGAGAGGCAATATGAAACACTGAGATCAAAAGTGAAGGAAAAAAAACATAAAAGCACTGAACCACAATATGGAATGAAAATGCGGCAACTGTTATAAAAACAGGCTAAGTGTTTTTGTCATGCCCAACCGATCAACAGCTTTCAAGACAAAGAGTAAAATAGGTTTCTGCAACACCCTAGCAAGGTCAGGAGGTTGCTGCAACACCCTAGCAAGGTCAGGTTAAACAAGAGCATTTAATTAAAGGCACTGTGTGGAGTTTGTGACCACTAGTAATGATATAGAGCAATGCCTACAGACAGCTTTATGCTAATGTACAGCATTACTGTATTACGGACAGTTGGCAGCGGTAACACACCAAGAAAACACCAGTGATCACTAACAGCAAGAACGAAAGAAATTGCAAGCTGGTGAGCATACAATGGAAGTCTCAAAACATAGAATCAGAATCAGAATCAGCTGTATTGGCTAGGTGTGTCGGAGACACGAAGAATTTGACTCTGGTACAGCGTCCAACACACCTGGCCAATACAGCTGATTCTGATTCTGATGGCGCTGATGTTGGACGACCACTTCAGGTCCTGGAAGATAGTGGAGCCCAGGAACTTGTAGGACTTGACAGTAAAAACCTGGCTTCAGAAATGTTTATTCATAAGGAAAAACCATTCAACACAGTTTTTATATCTGAAGAATACACACAATGTGGTTTTGTAGAAAAGACTGGATGTAACATAACTTTTGTTTTGAAGGACACAACACAGAGCACCTTTAAGGGCTTCTGAAATTCAGCTGACTGATAATAACCAAGGTTTTTCGTCAAACACCCACCCGGCTTCTTCTGGTATGAACATTGTTTAAGGAACAGTGTACCAAATTTGATTATGATCAACTTGTTTTGATTAATTTTAGCCAAGAGAAGATGAATGCCAAACTTGGCTGGAATTGTGAGCTGGAATTGCGCCTTATTCATTGTGCCAAGTCTGATGGACATGTCCATTGCCCAGTGCATTTGTCAGTTTGAGAGATCTTTACTAAATGAAATGACAAAAATAAAACATCTTGAGTAGTAAGCCACTTCTGGAAGAAGCAGCCAGAAGATGTCAGTTTAATTAGTTTGGCTTGTCAGGGGTGTTATGGCAATTCTACATGGTAAGTGCCTGCATGGGAAATTACTGGATAGCCATTATACTTCCACAGTAGTGTGGTTGAAAAACTTGTCTCTCTGTAACCCAACAGAGAACCACATCGCTCAAGTTACAGCTTCCAAATCATATTTATACTGTGTTGGATACTCTCCTGACAGATTACTTTCGCCATTCAAAGGGGAAATTAAAATAGGCTTTGTCTTCCTATCACCTTCTTGATCAATTCAGATAACTTTGGACTCACGCTTTAATATTAGGGTTAAAAAACTTTCCATTTCAGTATATTGTTAAAAATTATACTATATGTATATAAAAAACCAAATAAAAAATCATTCTGATAAGAAATTTTAGAAATTTCCCCACTTATAGGAGCATCATCAGTCTGGGAAACATAATGTGTCAGGATTTTACTGTAGTGCAACTGTGAAAGTCTTCTGCAGTTCTTTGAACTTAGCTCAAGGCTACTGTATAGCAGTGCCTTGAGCTTTATCATTTCTATTCAGAGATCTAACGCTAGTTTCAAGTGGCTATGGTGATTATACTACACAGTAACATAGGTGTAATCTAGTTTCTCTTTCAGTTAAGGGTGTGCAGAGTCATTTTATCTTCTTGAATCATCCTCATTGCATCTGACACTGTCAGATGAACAAACATTGTATGACCAGTTGCTGAGTGGTTATATTAATAAAATGCTTATGTCAACATTCCAAATGAAATATTTTACAATCTCATATTCTCTGGACATAAGGAATGGTTAATCAGTACATGAGGAAAATTACTTATAATTAACATAGTTAAACTGAAATTGCACTTGCCTGATTTTTTCTTTGGTCTGGATTTTTTTCATGGCCACTGTTGGTATGTCCTCGACAAATATCTTTTGTCTTGGCTTACATTCAGCAGCAGGGTATTCCCCAAGATATACTGGAGGTTCCGAGCCATTACTATATGCCTAAATCAGAAAATTTTCTATGAAGAAACCAAGCAAGTAATATCTGACTTGGATGTAAAAAAAAAAAAAAAAAAGACTTGTTACAGTGTATACTGTAAGTCTGCTAACATGCAGCTAAACGCTTCTCACTCAAATGCAAAGAAAAATGAAAAGAAGGCACTTTGGTCCATTATATAACAAGTTGCACCTCAGAGTCTCAGTAGTTCTTCTGAGAGAGTCTGTTTTTGAATAGAGCATAAAGCATAGACCTCCATCCGCAGGTGGAAATGTCTGCTGAATGCATATCATCCACTCTGAGGGAGCCCCCCTGTCCACACAATAGGCAGCGACAGTGTAAGCATCTTCC